CTGATTAAATAGTAGTTGCTCTGTTTTCTCTGGATAGTGTGTCAGTGCTAGTAGGAAATCTAATTATGAATTTTTAGCTTCCACATGCTTTGCAGGGTGAGAATAAAGGTAGTATTTAATTCCTTTCACTCAGATCTGCTCAAAACACAACTCTGATCTTGTACCTTAAATAATATTCTTTGCCTTCTGAAATCTTAAACATTAAATTGCTATTCTTTCATGTTTTTGGAGTTACCATAAATTGAAGATACATGACATATGTTTTATTCCAGTGTTTCACTATTTAGGGAAAAGTGAATCAGTAAGATCAATCTAGAAAGAGATCATACAGCAGTAAAAATGCACCAGATTTGTTTTGAAAGACATCATGTGCGTGATCTAAACCTTTGCAAGCTATCTTAACTAAGAAACATGATCCTCACTTTTTGCCTTTCATGGTATGAATTTCCATTTGCAGGTAGGGTCGATCACAAGCTCCATCCTCCATCAATGATCAGTTCATTACCAGTCACGTAGGCAGACTGAAATTACATAAAAAGTAACAAGGATTTTAACTACTTTTTCATGGTTATTAATTACAGGGAAACACTTTTTCTTTAAACTCAAAAAATGCTTTCTTTTTATACAAACAATTTTTTGTTTTACAAAAATATCTGAATAAGTAGAATATAAACAAAGTTTGAAATGGAAGCCTTTCAGCTAACTCAGGAGAGTGTAACAAAAGTATTATTAGAGGCATTAATATGAGAATGCATCCTGAGTGTACAAATTCACATAAGCTAGACTTCAGGTATCAGACTTATTAAGGTTGGTGAAGACCATTAAGATCATCAAGTCCAACCATCAACCCAGCACCACCATGCCCACTAAACCATGTCCTGAAGTGCTATTGCACCTGCAGGAATAATAGCTCACACTATGATGTTATTAGCTCTGTTCAACTGAGCAGAATCTCACCAGGTCAGCCAATAATTACAAGGGGACCTCACTGAAAATTTAGATGATGCAGATAGTGAGGTAAGCAACTGACCTGTTGACATTCTCCTTGATGTCAGTACTGAAGAATACTGGAATATATTGGAAAACTGTAATTCTGTCTACACACGGTTGAAAACCCTATGACCAGACTGGAAAAAAATTAGTAGCTTTACAGAAACACTAAAACAAAGATGAAAATTATAAACAGATTACTGATAGATAGCAACATTAAGACTGAATTAATTCCATTGAAGTATTGTGCTATGCTCAGTAGGACTGCTGGACAAGTCCAGAGGAATCCGGTCCAATTTTAGATTCATAGTAAATTTACGGCACCTGAAATAACCTTGATGTGCGCGCATTAGTATTGGTGGTATTTGCAGTGGCCATTAAAAGTTTGGTGTGTAACAACCTCGGTGGGTCTATTGTCTTCCTTACACTGAAAGGGGAGATTCAATCAGAGCATTAGCCCTTTTTGCTAAAGCCTTCAGCAGTTCTATGCAAATATTTGCTCTTTAATAGTGAACGTAGGTGATGACTACTAATTCTGCCACCTTAAAACATGATCTAGCTGTGGTGCAAACTTGGGAAAGCAGACAAGCCCATTTCTCCTACCATTCAGAATTGTTTGGGGTCAGTCAGTTTGCTCAGATGACATGAAACCACTGGGCTGTGGTAGCATATACATAATGCCTTCGTCACTATCAACATTCAGAGCACTTTTTGTATTGTAGGTTAAACTCAGTAAAAGATCATATTTTTTTTTATTTTTGTAATAATCCAGCTCAAAGACAATATAAATCCTCCTAAAACAAATTCTCTCTACTGTGAAGCAGCAAAGTAGCATGGCATTCTGTGACAGGAAATGTTACTGTTCCATACTTACTTCATCAGAAGCCAAGTACACAAAGAGATGGGCCACTTCTTCAGCAGTAGCCATCCTACCAGTCTTCTGTCTGGCTAGAAAGTCTTTCAATGCCTAGATATACAACAGCATTTAGTACACAAAAAGTAAAAAACCCAATTATTTTAGCCCGATTAGTATGACATGTACAAAACAATACTGGAAACAGGCCATAAGTCATGACTTCTTTTAGTACACTGAGTAGGGAATTTAGGCTAGAAAAAGAAATTAGGATATTAACAGTGGTATGAATTTCATGTTGAAAAATAGTAGGAGACTGGACCTAAATCTCTGGTTCCAGAATAAAGCCAACATAAGTTCTTCTTCCTTTGGTGGTAGATATTCCCAGGCTCTTCAAACAAGGGCTCAAAGTTACCTAGTCAGTATGGTTAAGTAATAATTTTGAAATGCATAGGCCAGAATGCCCTTTCTATCATGATTTTGCACTAGTTTGTGGCTGCCACGTGCCACAGTAGAACGTCTTCTACTTTTGCACTAGATACTGTAACCAATGGTTGTAAATGCTTCCATAGATGACAGTCCCTCTGTATTCACTAAGCAATAGTATCCTTCTGTGGCATTTTAAGACTTCTGTCTTGAGTACAAACTGACCAAACTGTCAAAGGAGACACTACTGTTTTGTTATCATTGCTCCTTTGAAATATGGGACATTCCTGAATACAGGCAGAAGTGGCACTATATATTTTATTTTTTTTAAAGGGAGTTAAAACATATGTATGCACATGATCAAATTAATAAACTGCTTTCTCACCTGTTCTGGGTTAGGCCGGGCTCGGATTCTTTCCTGTAAAGATGGTGTGTCAACAGTTCCTAAACAAAATTTTAAATTCAATATTAAAAATCAACTGTATCAACAATCATGACAAAAAAATGCAGTTCATTGGTTCTATTTGTATATCTTAACACTTATGTGTATCTTCATAATGTGATTCAGGAGAAAGACTGCAGAACTATCAATGTAGCATAGGATTCTAAATTTCAATAGAAGGCCAGACTTTTGAGAATTAGATTCAATACCTTTCAGAATGTTCAACAGTGGCTAGCTTCTTAGCTAGCCCTTGCCTGATTCTAACTTCCTAGACTATATCTTTGAAAATAAACATTCAAATAACGTGCAATGCATATATAATGCGCATGTGCTGGGTTAACAGACTAAACATACAGTACCAAAGTAACAACTTTTCTATTTTAAATCTCAGAATGTTTCAAGCATTGTCCTGTTCCTTTAGATTGCTGGGAACTTTAGTTCCACTTTGTAAGTCTATTCTTTGTTAATAAGGTTAAGCTAAATCTGACCACTTAGCATCTGCTCCTAGTTTACAAAATAATGTAAGAATACTTACCAGGACATATGCAGTTACATCTGATGCCTTGTTCAATGAAATCAGCACCCACAGACTTTGTTAGACCAATAACTGCTGCCTTTGAAGTACTATATACACATCTGTTCACAACTCCTAACAGAAGGCAGTGTAGAAACATATTTTGCAAATTAAAAAAAAAAAAACAGGAAGGGGAAAGAAAAAAGAGAGCCAAGTTTGTTCAATATACACCTGCTTCTGGACTCCAGCATTTGCTGTAGCACCTGTAGTCTTTCCCTAAGGGCAGGCTAACTAGAATGCTGGCTGCCAGAATTCTACTCAGGCATACACCAGAGCAAAGCACACAATCTCTCAACAGTATAAGTTTGGGGAGTAGTCTAGAAAAGTTAACAAAGCAAACAAGGATTTAGGAACAGCAGATACCCATCTGTTAGTCACCATCAGGCTTCCTTGGGAAGCATAGCTATGCCACTTATGTAATTGTCATTTCTTCCTTGTTTCTCTGAAGAACATACGTAGCAAGGTATCACTGGAAGTAATTCCTTTTTAGTTAATACAAACTGATAAAGAGGATGCTACAAAACATTCAGGACAGATTCAAAAGCTCAGAGGCAAGGATCTTAGTGTTTCTGCAATTTTCCATCTTCCTTGCGTGTATGAGTTGATGTGTTCACTTTCTTTTTTTAGCTGCATCCCTCCACAGGATTGGCAATAACCTCTAAATTCAAAGTTGTGCAATATTTATTTTGCATTCCCATAATTTTAAGTTTGAGATAACGAACTCTAGCAAGCTACTGACCTTTAATGCTAGATGCCACAGAAGACATATTTATAATATTTCCAGATTTCTGTTTAAGCATCTGCAAAAGAATCATAAAATTGTTTAGGTTGGAGAAGACATTTAACAGCAAGTCCAACTGTCAAGCTAGCACTGCCAAGTCCACCACTAAACCATGTCCTTAAGTGCCACATCTACATGTCTTTTAAATACCTCCAGGGATGGTGACTCAACCACTTCCCTGGGCAGCCTGCTCCTGCGCTTGACAACCCTTTCAGCGAAGAAATTTTTCCTAATATCCAATCTAAACCTCCCCTGGCACAACTTGAGGCTGTTTCCTCTTGCCCTATCACTTGTTACTTGGGAAAAGAGACCAAAACCAACTTTGCTACAACCCCCTTTCAGGTAGTTGTAGAGAGTGATAAGGTTTCCCCTCAACCTCCTTTCGTCCAGGCTAAACAACCCCAGTTCCCTCAACTGCTCCTCGTAAGACTTGCACTCCGGACCATTCACCAGCTTCATTGCCCCTTTTTGGACACGCTCCAGCAACTCAATGTCTTTCTTGTAGTGAGGGGCCCAAAACTAAACACAGTATTCGAGGTGCAGCCTCACCAGTGCCGAGTACAGGGGCACAATCACTTCCCTCGTCCTGCTGGCCACACAATTTCTGATACAGGCCAGGACGCTGTTGGCTGCCTTGGCCACCTGGGCACACTGCCGGCTCATATTCAGATGGCTGTTGAACAACACCCCCAGGTCCTTTTCCGCCAGGGGGCTTTCCAGCTGCTCTTCCCCAAGCCTGTAGCATTGCATGGGGTTGGTGTGATCCAAGTGAAGTGCAGGACCCAGCACTTCATACACTTGGCCTCAGCCCATCAATCCAGCCTGTCCAAATCCCTCTGCAGAGCCTTCCTATGCTCCAGCAGATCAACACTCCTGCTCGACTTGGTGTCACCTGCAAACTTACTGAGGGTACACTCAAACCCCTCGTCCAGATCCTTGATGAAACTGGCCCCAATACTGAACGCTGAGGAACACCAGCTGCCAACCAGATTTAACTCCATTCACCACAACTCTTTGGGCCCAGCCACCCAGCCAGTTTTTTACCCAGCGAAGAGTACACCCATCCAAGCCACGAGCAGCCAGTTTCTCCAGGAAAATGCTGTGGGAACTGGTGTCAAAGGTTTTACTAAAGTCCAGGTAAACAACATCCACAGCATTTCCCTCATCTATTAAGTGGGTCACCTTGTGATAGAAGATCAGGTTAGTCAAACAGGACCTGCCTTTCATAAACCCATGCTGACTGGGCCTGATCACCTGGTTGTCCTGTATGTGCCGTGTGATGGCACTCAAGATAACCTGCTCCGTAACCTTCCCTGGCACTCAGGTCAGACTGACAGGCCTGCAGTTCCCCGGATCCTCCTTCCGACCTTTCTTGTAGATGGGCATCACACTTGCTAACTTCCAGTCAACTGGGACCTCCCTGGTTAGCCAAGACTGCTGATAAATGATGGAGAGTGGCTTGGTGGGCACTTCTGCCAGCTCCCTCAGTACCCTTGGGTGGATCCCATCCAGACCCATAGATTTATGTGTGTCTAAGTGGTGTAGGAGGTTGCTAGCCATTTCCCCTTGGATTATGGGGGCTTCATTCTGCTCCCAGTCCCTGCCTTCCAGCTCAGGGGGCTGGGTAACCTAAGAACAGCTGGTCTTACTATTAAAGACTGAAGCAGAGAAGGCATTAAGTACCCCAGCCTTTTCCTCATCCTTGTCACTATGTTTCTCCCCCACATCCAGTGAAGGATGGCGATTCTCCTTAGCTCTCCTTTTGTTGCTAATTTATTTATAGGAACAATTTTTTTATTGTCTTTTACCACAGCAGCTAGATTAAGTTCTAGGTGGACCTTGGCCCTTCTAATTTTCACCCTGCATAACCTCACAACATCCTTGTAGTCCTCCTGAGTTGCCTGCCCCTTCTTCCAGAGGTCATAAACTCTACTTTTTTTTCCCCCCCAAGGTCCAGCCAAAGCTCTCTGTTCAGCCAGTCCAGTCTTCTTCCCCACCAGCTTGTCTCTCAGCACATGGGGATGGCCTGTTCCTGTGACTTTAAGATATCATTCTTGAAGAATTTCCAGCCTTCCTGGACTCCTTTGCCCTTCAGGACAAAGGGACTCAGTCAACCAGTCTCCTAAACAGGCCAAAGTCTGCCCTCTGGAAGTCCAAGGCAGCAGTTCCGCTGACCCTCCTCCTTACTTCACCAAGAAATGAAAACTCTATCATTTTGTAATCGCTATGCCCAAGATGGCCTCCAGCCATCACATCACCCACAAGTCCTTCCCTGTTCACAAACAACAGGTCCAGCCTTCCTGGTTGGACCTAGTTGGCTCACTTACCAGCTCTGTCAAGAAATTATCTCTAGGAACCTCCTAGACTGTTTCCTCTCTGCTCTATTTCCAGCAGACACCTGGTAAGTTGAAGTCCCCCATGAGAACAAGGGATAGCAATTGTGAGACTTCTCCCAGCTGCTTATAGAATATTTAACCTGCCTCTTCATCCTGGTTGGGTGGTCTACAACAGACTCCCACCATGATATCTGCCTTGTTGGCCTTCCCCCGATTCTTCCCCATAAACACTCAACCCTATAATCACCATCAATAAGTTCTAGACAATCAAAACACTCCTTAACATACAGGACTACCCCACTGCCTCTCCTTTCTTGCCTATCGCTTCTGAAGAGTTTATAGCCATCCATTGCAGCATTCCAGTTGTGCGAGTCATCCCACCACGTCTCCGTGATGGCAACTGTATCTTAGTTTTCCTGCTGCACAATGGCTTCCAGCTCCTCCTGTTTGTTGCCTATGCTGCATGCATTGGTGTAGGTGCACTTCAGTTGAGCTATTTATCCCACCACCATTTTGAGGAGGGAGAAGCCCTAATTCCATTCTCAGGCACTTCCATGGTTTCTAACACGTCAATAACCCTTGCGTCTTTGCTGCAGCTTGGGTCTCCATCCCCTACCTCCACTAAGATGGCAGATCGAAGGACCTCACTAGCGCACTGTCCTTCAAACATCTGTGTGCAACCCCAAGGCTTATCTCTAGCAAGCCTGGATTTATCCCTTTCCCCTTCAAATCTAGTTTAAAGCTCTTTCAATGAGCCCTGCTAAATCCTGTACAAAGATCCTTTTCCCTCTTTGAGACAGGTGTACCCCATCTGTCGCCAGCAGGCCTGGTGTCATGTAAACCAACTCATGATCAAAAAACTCATAATTCTGCTGGTGACACAAGGTTCAGAGCCAGGTATTGATCTGCTGGCTCTTCCTGTTTCTTCCCTCATCATTCCCTGCAACTGAAAGGATAGGGGAGAACACTGCTTGTGCTCCTGATCCCTTAACCAGTCATCCCAAGGCCCTGAAGTCTCTCTTGATTGCCCTCAGACTTCATGTTGCAACCTCATCCCTACCTACCTGAAAAATCAATAATGGATAATAACCTGAGGGCCATACCAGGACAGGAAATTTTCTCTTCACATCTTTAACATGGACTCCAGGGAGGCAGCAGACTTCCCTAAGTAAGTGGGTCTGATCTCCATAGTGGACCTTCTGTTCCCTTCAGAAGGGAGTCTCCTACGACAATGACCTGTCTTCTTCTTGGAAGCAGTTTTGATACAGGGTATAGCCAATTTAACCTTGGCAAGACTTGCAAGCTAGATGAACCATTGCCCTCATTATTGTTTGGTTCCACTTCCAACCCATGATCAAAAAACTCATAATTCTGCTGGTGACACAAGGTTCAGAGCCAGGTATTGATCTGCTGGCTCTTCCTGTTTCTTCCCTCATCATTCCCTGCAACTGAAAGGATAGGGGAGAACACTGCTTGTGCTCCTGATCCCTTAACCAGTCATCCCAAGGCCCTGAAGTCTCTCTTGATTGCCCTCAGACTTCATGTTGCAACCTCATCCCTACCTACCTGAAAAATCAATAATGGATAATAACCTGAGGGCCATACCAGGACAGGAAATTTTCTCTTCACATCTTTAACATGGACTCCAGGGAGGCAGCAGACTTCCCTAAGTAAGTGGGTCTGATCTCCATAGTGGACCTTCTGTTCCCTTCAGAAGGGAGTCTCCTACGACAATGACCTGTCTTCTTCTTGGAAGCAGTTTTGATACAGGGTATAGCCAATTTAACCTTGGCAAGACTTGCAAGCTAGATGAACCATTGCCCTCATTATTGTTTGGTTCCACTTGCAGAACCTCCTACCTATTATGCGAGGGCACCAGGGAAGGTGGGGTAGTCACAGAGGAGATGCACCTGCTGCTCCAGGCAGGAACTTGTCACCATTATGCCCCCATCCTTTAAGTCACTGTGTTCATCCAGGCACAGAGAGGACAGGGAATCAATCCTCTGTATCATGCGTCCTGTCTGCCCATTGGGCCTCTCCTAGGGAAGGCAGGGTGCGATTCCAGTAGTCAGCCTCTCTTTCACCCATCCTGATACTCTTCAACCTGCTCGCCTCTCCCCAGAGCTCTGTCACTAAGCAGAGGGGTTCCTCTACCTGTGCGCAGCTCTCACAGCTGTGCTCGCTGCTGCTGTCCCATACTGGCGTGAAGAGCAGGGCACAGACTGCGGCCTGACACCTGGGTGTCTGCATATTCCCACCGGAGCTCTGTCGGTCACGGCAGGTGCAGAGCTTAAGAGAGGCCACGGCTTTCTGCTGAGTGGATACCATTGCTCCCTGGTCAAGCTGGCAGAGCTTCAGTGCCCTTCTGCATGAACTGACGCACCATGCCCTGTTTACCAGTGCTCTCCAGGGGCTTCTTTTATAGGTGTGGGGGCTTGGCCGCCATTGCTCCTGGCCCTGTCCACGTCTTGTCAGCCCCTGTGGCATGAGCTGCAGGCTCCTGGCAGCTCTCTCTGCTCCCCTGGAGACCTCCCTGATTTGGGAACCCTGCTGTGCACAGCGCTGGAGTGCTCTGCTGCGCATCCTGCCAGCATCGGAGCCACTCGCCTCGGTGACTTACGTCATTCAAATGCAAACTATTTTGTTATCTGCAGGTCCAGCAAAACAGCCCACTACCACCTGCACAACAGCCCTACATGCAATTGATACGCAGGGTAGCAAAGCTTAATTGGCATGAACCGGTGCATATATCTTTTTGATCTATTCACTGAAGCAGAATCTGCAATTCTCACTAGGTTTTCCTAAGTCATCTCAGGGATGAAGACTATGACAGGGAAGGATTTTTTTCCTAGATAGCCACCTCGGAATCATTGCCCTCTTGTCACCACAGTAAGTTATGCTACACAGACATCTGTTCATGCTATCTACTAATGCAGTAATTCACTGATCCCATTCAAACTCTTCTTGCTTTGGAGAAGACTATAGCACAACTCTCTAGTATCTTTGAATTGTAGCTAACTTTTTTTACATTATAACAGTTTTAGGCATCCCAAAACCTGAGATGCCTAAAGTTGTTATAAATAACCTTTGAAAATGAAGATCAGCTAAGAAAACAAACAAACAAACAAATCAACCAATAAACCAAGGACTAGAACAGTACTTTTCAGAGCAGTCGTCATCCAGTTATGGTCACAGCTTTCACATCTGGCCTTTGCATTTACAGGAATACAAATGCCTTATTCAGTCCACAAGTTTTTGTAGCCCCAAACCTAGTTATTACATCAAACACAAGTGCCCTCGAACTGCTAGACTAATTGAATTGTTCTGATATGACCAGCATGTTAGCATCAGTGGCGCTGAATTGCTTCACAAGATAGTTTCCAGAGTTCCATAAAATTCATGTTAATATACATTAATTATAAATATTTTGTAGCAGTGATAGTGTGTAGCTGTGTGCTATAGTATAATATGGTAGCACTGTATTCAATGGCTCCCTCACTGCTCTGAGTTTGAAGGGGTTTAGTTACAAATTACATAGGGCAAAACCCCTGAATTAGTCTTCTCTACAATATCCTTTAGATAAATTGTCTACTTGAAGGATTACACAGTGCAGAGAATGCTTTAGAGTAGGATCGCTATAATCCAAGGGCCTCCCCACCCAAAGCTGCACACGGGCATTTTTATCTCAAATTCCATGCTGTCACAGCAGCAACAACTTAAGACCTCTCACTTTAAATACAATGCAGCAGAGACTAAAAATCATGAGCAAGCCAAGCCTTACCTTCGGAAGGAATGTCTTGATCATTAGATACATGCTGCGAACATTGAGGTTCATAGTGAAGTTCCAGTCTTGCTCCTCACAGTCCAAAATAGTTCCATGATGAACAAACCTAGAATAAGCGCATGAAATGGATTACTGTCTGTGGTTTACGTTTCTATGGCTTTTTATGCACAGGGCAGACTCGATATGTGCAAAGAAATGCTTAGGAATAGGGAAATAAAAAAAAAAAAGTCGAGTAGTAGCAGACCATCAACTTTGTTCACTGTTGTGCTAGGAGGGACACTCACACAGCTGTGCCTGTGCCATAGTATAGGGCACCCACAGAGTGTGGAAAACAACTAATGCCAGAGCCATCCTATCTTGGTCTGGGTAACATGGCTGCGCACAAAAAATTCTGTTTTGATGAAGACACATGAAAGTTTGTATTAAAGGTATAAAATGCATTAAAACAAAAGAAAGAAAAGACATTTAAGTAAAAGAAAGTACTTCTGGAGGACAGGGAAAACTGGAAAAATAGGATCAAATAAAAGCTGGTTACCCTGCAATGTTACAGAGGACGTCAATCTTTTCAATCTCCTTGGCCAGATTTTCTATCTGCTCCTTTTTGGTGACATCCAGAACCCGTATTTGAATGCCTAGAAAAACACGGTATTTGCTTCGCTGTATTTGGCTAAAGATCAGCAGTTTATTTTTCTGAAGTGCTGAGGATTGCACCTGCAATTCAAGCCAGTGGCTTGCCAGGAACGATCCACACTCAGAGGTGCACCAAGACATGGACACTCACTGAGTGAGAATTACACTTAATGATTAAATTAGTGTAATGGTTAAATTGGGACAGCAGTGGACAGCATGTCATACTATTTAAAATTTCAGAAGGGAATTAGAAAGAAATCAACTGATTTGATTATCATACAGCATCACACAAGCAAAAGAGCTAACATCATTTACCATAAAAATAAATTCCAATAAATTTGAATTCCACTCTACTCTCAAACTGAGGAGTTATAGAACCTGTATAATCATAACAAGCTGTCATGCCGTTATAGAATAATAATTACTTGGAACTAGTTACATGTGTCACACACTCGCAGTCACATTACATGCCATCTATCCATGTGTAGTTGAGGATATTATGAATCAGCTTTATATAATTTAACTAATGAGGAAAAGTGATTTTACATAAGACATTAACATATTACCTGGAATGATATTACAGCAATTATTTAATTGCAAAAACATAGCAAGCATTGTATTTGTAAACTTGTTTATAAACAAAAGAAGGCTTGGAATCTCACTGCTTTTCACTATAACCGTCTACTTATTTCAGCCTCTGACAGCTGTTACTGTCAGTGCTTATAGCATGAGCTGTGCCTGTGCCATACCTTCAAGACACTGATAACAAAAAACAACCCTTATATTTTGTTCAGAGAAGTTACCTCTGAAAGATTGAGACACATAATTTCTACAAAACAGGGACAGGCAGAACTCTTCCAGCCACTTTTTGATAGAATCAGGCCCTCTAACAGAACTGCCTTAGGGCCAACCACAGCAGTGCCACTCCTGGGACAGAGGTGGAAAGAGCTAAGTAAAAGAACTTCCAGATGAATTGTAATATATATGATAGATATGATATAGTCTAAGTGTTATTTTACCTCATTTTACTTAAGTATCTTCCAGCAATCTAACACAACTAACTTCTCTCACCCATGTCAAGGCTGAATGCTTACTATGGAATAGGCATACTTCATGATACATGTTTCCTGCACCCTCACTCCATATTGCATGTAAAGATTGAGCTGTATCCCCTTCTCAAATACATGAGCTTTTCATCCAAAGGAAACCTGGATGAGTGGCAAAGGAGTAGTCAGGGTATACGCCAGTAATTCCCTTAGCAGGTACAATTAGGCTCCCAGGGCACTAAGACTTGCTGCTGATCACCCTTTTGCCACAGCCTCATCACAGCATATCCTGCATCTAGGGTAGAGGGACATGCAGAACACACCTGTGCCCCAAACAGTGTGGGGCGGTTCTGGTTTGGTTGTGTGGTGTGTTGTTTTTTTGGTTTTTTCTTTGTTTTTTGTTTGTTTGTTTGTTTGTTTTAAGCACACAATTTAGTCATGTGCAACTAGTGACACACAGTCTAGTAAGCATCTACAACTACCTGGTGCGATTGTAGAAGAGATGGAGCCAGACTTCCAGGGCCCACAGTGGAAGGATGAAAGGCAGTAAAAAGAAGTTGGAACATAAGAAAGTTTGACCGAATGTAACGTGTTTGGTTTTTGTGAGTTTTGGTGGGTTTTTCTTGTTTGGTTGTTTTTTTAAAATATCATTATAATTTTAAAACCATGATAGCAGTTGCACTTGAACAGGGGCTTACAGAGTTTGTTGAGGAAATTCCATCCTTGGAGATGTTCAGAACTTGACTCAACACAGCCCTAAGCAACCTGCTCTAACGAGAGCAGCAGGCAGGACTAAGTGGCCTCCAGAGGTCTCATCCAGTGTACATACTGTAAAGCTGTCTAAAGCATCTGAGTGATGTCTAAATTATGGGAGAATTTGATTTGAAATGGATAAAAACCTGTTTCTTTTGAAGCCAAAATGACAAGACCATGAACAGGCTGTATATGCCTTAGTTAAATGATATAGACACTTTTAAAGAGATTTGTGTATAATGATGCAATTAGACTACAGGCTGGTGATTAACATCAGCACTGGAATTACCTCTCCTGGATAAAATTCAAAGACCACAACGTGCCTTGATGAATTACAGCTTACCTAATCACATGTCAAAAGGCTGGAAATGGCTCAGAGTATATTGAAAATTCCCCCTTTCCTTCTGAACACACTAGCAGAGGGAAAAAATGCACAGTTCAAAATGTAACACTCTCCTAAACACCCTCAGAATGAACCTGGAAAGTCCTAAAGGAATTCCTAAGGAATTGCTGGTGGTAAACTCCAGTCAGTAGAGACCGATGTTCACACTAAAAGCTGTGCCAGAGAAAAGTGTTTTTGTGTATTTGACTGTCACCCTGTAATAGGAATTCATTAAACCCACTTCCTTCCATCAAATTAAGTTGGAAGCCCTTTCAGTTTTAAAATATATGCAACTCTTAATTTTTATTTCAAGATAGAAAAGATAATTTTTTTAATATAATGTCCCATACTTGTGTCACTTATGATTAAGAAATGCAGCTATGCAAAACCTGCTCCTTGAAGTATGTTCCTGTGATATCAGTAGGAAAGCAACCTTCAGGCATGAGCATTTGTACAAACAAAACAGGCTTATCTAGCACTGGTGGAGTTAGTTTCCGAAGACATAAAAATTCTACTAGACAGCTATACTTTTAATACATTCCTTCGTAAGTATAGACCATGGAAATGCAAGACATTATATCTACTTTTTATATAGCTGGATGTTAGTTCTTGTGATCAGAGAAAAGCATTCCATGCCTTTTAGAATGATATGTTTGACAACTAGCCTAGAGATCTCAAAAGGTAACTGAAATGGGTGCTGTTCTGGGAAGCAGAAATCAACTGCTGCTGTGACACAAGAAACTCAAAGTTATTCCACATGCCTGGAATAATACTGTCTGATGTGCTGATGTTGTAGTATTTTACATGCTAAATCTCTGCCATTCCACACCACAGAATAAAGCAATGCCAACATCTAAAGAATTAGTCTGGACATTTTCCTTTTTTACTGGCCTTTTGAAATTTGCCCTATCCTCAAATCATATTTCAGCCAGTCTTCAACAAAACTTCCAAGAGCTGAACTAATGCCAACTGTAAGTCTTTTACCTGGATATTTCTTCAGTTCTTGCAGCTTAGACTCATTGATGTCTGTAGCAAGGACTTTGGCTCCTTCTTTAGCAAAAGTCTGAAAAATACAAGTAAGAGAATCAGTTTATATTTAGATATTTCAGATCTTACCAGAAAGAAAATCCATTTTCTTCTCATTTCATTTTTGGCTCGGAAGAAAAGTTGGCTGAAGGCAGCTGATCTCTCACTTGTCATTCTGGGCATGTCAGGGAGTAATGGACATCAATTACCACACATCCTGGGCACAACTAAGTAACTATACATGATAAAAGACGGATTCAAGATCTTTTCCCTAAGGTAAAGAATCCATAAATGAAGTATAAAACCAGTAACCAGACTAAGACAAGTGGTATTATTATTGCCCTTACTAGCTCCATGTGCACTAGCAAGCACATTACAAACATGTAGGAGTAGAATTGTCTGTATTGTTGGATTTAAATGAAGTTATGGGATTTGACAGGTAAAGACATGAGTCATAAAAAAAGAATAGTGGTATATAAGCTTTAGGAAAATAATTTTCCTCCAAATCATTGGAACAGAGCAATATTAAACAGAGCATGACTTTTCTTTAATACTTAAGCAGAGATACTCCTTCATTCTTGATGCACCCTTCAAAACCTGCTTTCTCTGCATTGTAATTACTGATAAATCAACAGCCATGCTAACAGAGTAACCTCCACGTTAAAAGTATTCTGACATCTCAGCCTATAGCCCCTAATCTTCAAAGTAAGTGTCTCAAGTGCAGCTTCAGAGGATAGTGGTGTTCAACACGCCAGCCTTCCGTGGCTTGTTGGGTATTTACAAAGTGAAATCATCAGGAAGATTGCCTACTCCTTGGACTGAGCATTTTAATGTGAGTGCCAAGATCAGCAGTCTTCTGCATTCTTAACTGCGTGTATGAGAAACTAACTAGTCTGGCAAAGATCCTACTCACAGGAGCTTTTCCTGGCTTGTTGACTACATTGCAGGGATACTGAGGTAACTCTACTGGTTTATCTGCTACAGAAGGAAGTAGCAGGGGAAGAACTAGTCAAAAGGAATTAAAAGGTAACCAGAAAGTTAATACATATGTTGAATTCTGTTTAACAGTAATTGAATAAAATTTGTAAAGGATTTCTCGCAGTTGCTCATTGTTAACAACATTGTAGCTGCATTATTAGTATCATGTAGACATGGTTACGTCAACTATTAATGTAGATAAAATATTTTGGTTTTACTGTAGGGGATCTTTGCAGTATCCACCTTATAACAGGAAATATTTCCTCTATCCTCCTTATCTTCTCCCAGAACAAAGCAGCAGACATATTGGATTAAAGGTACAGACAGTACCAACCATATATTGTTAGAAAAGCAGTTGCAGCTGTTCTCAAATCTTGCCTTTATCCTTGCCTAACATCACTCTCAGAGCTGAAGACTTTCAGAAACTGAAACAGCACAAAGCATGCATGGTACAGTATAGCGACTATTTTATTCCCTAAATTTTTCGACGGGTAGTTCTGGCTTCTTATCTGTGGTTTATTAATTCAAGCACTTGTTTGGTGCAGGTGTCGTTGGACAAGCTAGCATTACAGACCGAGCTCAGGTACAGGACAACAAATATTTTCCAACTTACTATAGCAGCTGCTCGTCCAATCCCCTGCGCTGCTGCAGACAGGAGTATGAACTTCCCATCAAGCCGACCCATACTGCTGACCTGTGCAGACTGAAGGTGTCACAAAGATGAGCCAACAACACTCCCTGGGAATCAGATACAAACGCATTCCAAAAACCAGACGTGATTCAGAGTACCCTCTGCCATCAAATCGTATCACAGATTGTCCTGTTTGGCTGCAGTGTGACCATGAGTCATCCAGGGTTCTGCCTCAACTCCCCGCCCCCCCTAAGTAAGAGCCTCAAAAAGATCAAAAGGCATTTGAGCTCAAAAGCCAAGCTTTATTATAACAGAAGCCAGACTTTATTTTCCTTAAATAGGGAAAAAAAAGTCAAAATGAAACAGAAGTACAATAACTTGTAATCTAGTGCTTCCACGGTCCATGGTGTTCTTAGAAAGGTCTTTCTTCTACTCCTCTCAAACTATAAACTCTTCAACTTCCTAGATTGCAATAAATTCCACACAATACCCTGGCCTTGGTGTCTGCTCTGAATTGACCGAGGAATCTTCCAGCACAGCAGATTCCCAGCTCCAACAAGGCCGGGGGGGGAATGAAGCTTTGTTCTATCTTGCCTCTCTCATGTTGCTTGCTCTCAGGGAACTACTGAGCATGCTTAGGCAAGCAGTAGAAAGTCTCTAGGAGGTTCCACCTTACTCAATGTGTAGCAGCCAAAAGGCAAAATGTAGTCCTTTTCTGCCCAAGCACTTTCAAATGGTACATTATGTTTAAAAGAAATACAGCATGTAAACAAGTAAAAGCAAATGCCATCCGCTCACTCCTATGGATTCAAAGTGTTCCAGTAGGCTTTTTTGTTAAGGAGTAAACTTAATACGATGTTTCAGAGAACTGTCTAAAAAGTAAGGTCACTGTGTTCCAGTCAGAGTGCGATACCTGGTTCGGTAACTGGGCTCTCAATAAGCAAAGCTTTCTGCACTTTTATAATTCACAGAGCAAAATTTGTTTATGTAGCTATGAGTGCAGAAAGGTGTCCTGAGAAGCCGAAGTCTTTAAACATATACATGAATCCAACATACCGAGTACTCCACTGAGAAGTTAAGATGCCAGAACATAGGCATAGATTAACCCCTAGGTTAGCAGCCAATGCTATCATCTAGAGATGCTCAAATCCATGCTGTGACTCAGGTTACGGAGTCGAATTTAGTGTCCTACGTCTCAAACCAGATTAATAATTTCTCTGATTTTGACCAGAAATTCCATTTCCTCCGCACCTTTTCCTGACAAAAGTTGCGGCAATACTAAGGTTTCCTTGAAGGCTACATATTCAACAAATGAGGCTTCTGAAGCAGTTTATCTGAAAAATTCTTTCTGTTCTAATATGCAAAACATTATTTCTTTTGATTTAAAGACAGATTGAGTTACAGACTGCATTTCAAGACATTGAAATTTTTCACTGTAGGTTTTCCGCCCATAATTGGGACGCACAAGCACACAGACACACACACACAAAGAAACAAAGCACAAAACAAGAGTCTCCTATGCAAACAGTAACCAAGATGTACCTTTCTAGTTAGGAAAAAGCAAAATAACTTAAAATCACTTTTTAGGCTGGGTAGTAAAAAGACCGCTCAATGCTATATAAGGTTATGTGAGACTGGGCCTGTCTTAGCAAAGGTGAAAAATACCAAATTAACTGAGCAAAATGAGATTACACACACAACTAGGTTGCACTGTCTCTCCAAGGTACAAAGTTTCCAAAATGCAATTCCTCAAACACAAAAATCTGGGAAAGGTTCTATTAATTGTAGCAAGTCCTGAGTATTTCAACAATGAGCTCAAGTGTTCATGCGAGGCAGAGGAAGCTCACTCTTCTTCTTTGTCGTCACATACATCTTTTCAGTGGAAAAAAACCCGTCAGAGTACTCCCCGAAATCACCTTAACACTTTGGAAGCAAAATGCACTATAAATACATTTTTCAATCTAACAGATAGTTTTTATGAACATTTGCCACACTGATTTTATGACACATTTAGAAATAAATATTAATATAGTCACTCACCAAGAGATCTCAAACAGCTTGTTATGTTTGCTGACCTTTGTACAAAAGGAAGTCTTATGCTTTTTTTTGCTGTGCTTGTTGGGATTTGTAGTCTAACTGGTAAGTTTCTCTATATATGAACGTAATTTCCTGTTGAAACATTGAGATGCTGCCATCTAGTGAAACTCAATTTTAAAAGTGTGATTTTCTTCTGCACAGGAAAGGACAAAAAAGGATCAGCAGCATTAGCCGTCCATTCTCCCTGAGGAATTCAAAAAATCATCAGGATTCCCACCAAAAAAGGCCACAAACATGTTTTTCCCAAGGAATCCATCTTTATCAATATAAGCTATCAAATTCCAAACTAGGACAACACTTGAATGATGAGTTTTGTTATTTTTAGGGTTTTTTTTTTGTTTGTTTGTCATAGTATCTAGTGGTTTAACTTATTTGTTAAGGCAGAGTTAATATCATCAGACTGGAAAATTCTAGGACAAACTAATTTAGTTATAAGCTCACACCAGACCTAAAGCTACCCTAATAGCATTCTTAAAGAATTTGGAGCCCTGCCTGAACTTCAGCTGGGCCCATTTTTCTCAGAAAAGCCATTTCTGTGGGTGAACTGGGACACACATACACGAAGTTCAGTCATACTAAGTTATCTTGTCTTTCTGCTAAACTATGATAGCTTTCTAAGGCTTTGTAAATCATCTCCCCAGTAAACAAAATCTTTAATGACTAGGTTTTCTAAAAGCATTTATCCTTCTGTCCCTAACCTTTTGCCTACTAAATTCAGACACAGACCTGTACTTGTTGCAACAGGTTCCTGTTTTTCAGCTCAATAACCAGAAAAATCTCCAAATCTAGAAATGATCCAGGCAAGCAATCATTAACATTCCCCCTCCCGCCTTGAAACTGTATATAAAAGTTAGAGAGAGATACACACACACACACACACACACACACACACACACACCCCCTGCCCCTTGGTTCTCCCTTCCGGAAGGAGGAAGTCAGTTGAATTAATTTATTAGAACACTGAAATGCAGGGAATGGAAAAAAAAAACCAAACCTGGTAGCCAAAGGAAATCTCTTTCAACCATAGTGGGAAATGGAAAAAAAACCTCACCCAAACCAAAGAAAAACCACCCAACCTCCAAAACAAAACAAAAGATCCACCACACAAACACCAGCACTTTGCACTTACCACTGTCAGGAAATAAATTGCTCCTACATACCTATGGAAAGGAGACACTGCAGTGTTGAACTCGGTAACGGTATTTAGAACCTGTGTATTTTTGGCTAGTAGTATCTTTAAAAGTTTCCCAAAATACATTCCAGGTTAGAGATTTAGAGATAAATACTTGCAATTTTTTAGTAGTTACAGTAGTTGGCAGAGTTTTCACCTATTCAAGGTAAATAGATAGTTGGTTCTTTATATTAAAGATCTCTGAAGTACCTCCATCAGGTGAATAATCCTTGTGAAACTCTTCCAATTCCAGTAACTGCTGAATGCCCAGGAACATGTCAATATAACCATTTGCTTATCAGGTTGGGTAACCCAGAACAGAGTACTTAAGAGACCTAGCATCATTTAGAGCTTTATGCCTATAAAATAAGGATGATGCTTTTGATGCAGTTATCTTTGTTAGGTATGACTTTCTCGTCTCACGAGGATGATTTAATTAACAGAGTTGATCTCCTCAGGTTTTGAATACGAAAATTCTTTTTAGCTGGCAGCGGAGGGCGTGTGGGAAGAAAGGGAGGAGTATCTATCTTTTAGACTTCAAACATTTCCTTACAGAGAAAGATTCAGTTAGAAAGAAGAATTAAACAAAAACATCTGTGACACAGACTTGCGCAACAGTAAACTTCTGCACAAAGTAGTTATTGCAGAAAGTTAGAGAGGACACAGGAAAGAAGCAAAATAATGATGGAATTGGTGAGATTACTACAAGAGTCTTTAGACACTGAATATCTTAGATCATAGCACAAGTGAAGCGATCAGTAAAAATATTTTTAAATACTTAGCACATTAAAGTTTATTGTCAAAACAAACCTTCTTATACAAAACAAACAAAAATAGGCCTCAATGCAGATAAGCAGGCTAGTAAAATAGTCCATCTTGCAGTCCTGATCATCCAGTTTATTTTCCATTCACTGCAGTAGCAGGAAAGCATCAGGTCCATTGCTTACTATTAAAAAAATCCAATACCCAACTTCAGAGAGGAACTAGAAGTATGTTGAAAGACGACGCAAAATACAAAGTTACTCTTGGCACCATAATTGGCTGAGCTGCAGAAATATTGTAGGGCATTTAAGAGAAACTCTTGATTGTGTGCCCTACAAACAGAAAATTAGTAACTTCAGTTGCAATGTCCAGATAGAGGGGTTAAAGTTGTGGTGAAAATGCAGTTTCTGTGGACTGAGAGAAAGCATGGTATAAAAACCATATGCTGAGAAACAAAAAGTACAGTTCTTTGCAACTCAACAGCAGTCTGAACATACAAATTTCAACCACCCAGAAGAGGGCTGCTTTAGGAATGACAGAACGAAAAGTTTAAGATTGACAAGTTTCACAGTAGATTAGTTTGTGATCCATTCCTGCCCCTTCCTTGTTCCTTTTTTTTTTTTCCTTCAATACGTTGGCTTTTCTTTCTTTGACATAAAAAAAAAATAAACCCACCAAAGTAGAACCTCATCAGATCAGCAAGTTGTGGGCAACATGACTGCTTTTCCATTTTTGTTCTTTTATTCCAGCTTTTCCAATTGTGGGAAGTAGCAACTCCAAGACAGCAAGGGATCTGCATGCCACCAGAGCTCTTCCCACAATTTGTGGAAAAGGCTGATGGCTTTTGACCTGAAGCAATTGTCTTTTGTATATGCAGATTCTGGCTGTAGCCACGGCAAAAGCAGCTTACAACAGAGCACCTTTACTGGGTGGTACAATCAGGGGCTTTATCTTTCTCTGAAGTTCCAAACCAGTGCTTAAGATGTTCTTCTGTGGGCTCTATTCCTGCAGGTCGCGTATCTATACA